CCGGTGATCTTGATATGAAACTCCAACTCCATTGTATCCATTTGTATGAGATAAGGATGGGGATGTCCCCTCATTCTATCACTGGCTTGTGTTAGAATGAACTCTTCCAAATTCATAAGGCAACAAATCCATCATAAATCCAAAGGTTTTTAAAACTCAAAACCTCTTTGATCCGCCAAACCCAAACGTGGATCTCTCCTGAGAGGCGAGGTATCAACTCGTTAGCAACCGATTTGCCTAAGTTAAAAGTTTAAGTACCTTTATGTAATTAGCCATGTACATATTTTCCTTTTCTGGCATGGGTTAGGGCTTGAGGTGCAGTCGAGTATATATGTTGAGGGGTTTCGACCATTGTAAGTTTCTATGAACGTGAATAAATGGATAGTTGCATTTGAGGTACACATACTAATAAGTATTTGCAAATTTAAGTTGTTTTTCTAGTCATGAATATAGTAATTATATTTTCATAATGATTTATAATTATGCTAACTTAAATATTTGCTTACCTTCAATTTTTAAGATCTAAATGAAGCATGATTTGACTGATTGAATGATTTTCCAAGGACAATATTATTTGAGATGTAGAACTGCAAAAATAATTACTAAAAACAATATGAAATAGATTTTTTTTTTTTTTTTTGCATTAAGGGAGGCTAAAGCCAAGAAGAAGAGCAATTACAACAGGCGAGAGGAGGGCAGAAAGGAGAAAAGGAGGCTATCTATTTGTTTGCACCACAATCCTGCGCTCAAAAGAGACCCTCTGATTGTCCTCCTGCAGAATACGACACAGATCTCTGGGCGGGTCCACAAGCTCTCGCATACCGTAGGGATAGACGAGACTGTGCTTCGAGAGCCAGTCCGCGGCTCTATTCCCTTCCCGGTATGTGTGAACAATGTTGACCAACCAATCCTGAGCCATACGCCGCCGTATCGACATAAGCAGGCAGGCGTAAGGGTGAATGGGATCCTGCCGATCTTTAATCAACTGGATAGCTAAAAGAGAGTCCGACTCGATGATTAAATTCGTGCACCTGTGTCTCCAAGCAATATCCAAACCATACCGAATAGCCCACAGCTCAGCCAGAGCCGCCGAGGCCTCCCCAATCTTAGCCACAAACCCGGCTATCCAACGACCCTGATCATCCCTAATCAACCCTCCAGCTCCTGCAATCCCGGGATTACCTGCCGAAGCCCCATCTACATTAAGCTTCAGCCAACCCCTTGAAGGGGCAAGCCACCTAATGCTCTCTGTTCTTCTATCTTGGATCGTTCTAGGTTTACCTGGAGAGATTGAGGGGGCATTCCACGCCTTATGCCAAAGGCTTATCCTGTGCGCAATCGAGTGGCTCAGAGACAGTGCAGACAGAGTAGCAGCCGTCCCTTTGAAGCAGCCCGTGCACCTGTTCTTCCACAAACACCAAATCGCTATGCTGAAAAAAGCATTCCAGCTAACACCTGACTCCATGGTGTCCTCCTTAAGGAGATTCTTCTGCAACCAGTCTCCAATGGGCGCTGAGAAGAAAGCATGCTGCTCAGGTGCCGACACATGCCTACTCCAAAAGAAAGCAGCAGGAGGGCAATCGCGGAGGACATGGCACACAGACTCAGCAACATCTTCACAGCGGTAGCAGGAGGAGGACAGAGAGAACCTTCTAGAGAATCTCAACTGGTTCGTCGCAATCTTGCCCAAGCAAACTAGCCAGACAAAGCATCGCACTCTTTCCGGGACCGGGAGCTGCCAAACTTGCTTCCACAAATGCTGCCGAGAATCATAACGAGGCGGGGCAGCCAAGAGGTAGGCTGATTTCGTAGTGAAACAGCCATTAGTAGACCCCGTCCAGAAGATCGTGTCCTTCTCGGTGGATAGAGGGTCAACGGCTATCGCGGTCATCTTCTGCAGAACCTCCGCTGGCAGCCAGGAGGCCAACCGCTCCACATCCCAAGTACCGTCTTCTCCAAGGTAATCAGCAACCGAATCCGACATCATTTCGCTTGGAACCGGTTGAAGAGCCATCTCCACGAGCGGGACCTGCATCAACCAAAGATCACACCAAAACTTAGTGTCTTTCCCGCTGTGAATATTCCACCCACAGCCTTGCTGCAGTAAGCTAGAAGCTTTAGTAAAGCTTCTCCAGGCAAAGGAACTTCCCTGACTCTGGCGAAACATATCCAATCCTTCCCGCTGACACCCGTACTTGGCACGAAAGAGCTGCGTCCAGAGGGAACTCTTTTCCTGCAGCAAGCGCCAGCCCCCTTTAGCCAGGAGAGCCAGATTTGTTTGTCTCAAGGGTCGCAAACCTGCCCCCCCTTGATTCTTTGGCTCAGTAAGCTTCTCCCAGGCCACCAGGTGCATCCTTCCTTGCTGCTCTCTCTCTCCCCAGATAAAGTCCCTGTTGATCTTATCAATAGATTTACAAACATTCATAGGGATAAGTTCAGTTTGCATAGGGTAAGTAGGAATGGCTAGAGACACAGATCGCGCAACCGTTAGCCTCGCAGCAAGGGAGAGCCGCCTAGACTTCCAAGGAGCAAGCTTCTTTTGAATTTGAAGAACTAGGGGCTGGTATCTACTCTTTGTGATCCTCCCATGAATCGCTTGCACACCCAGATAGCGCCCCAAGTTAAGAGTCAAAGGAATGCCAGCCCTGTCACTTAACCGCTGAGCTCGAAGCTGGCCAATGTTCGGTGAGACATACAGCAAGGATTTACTGAAGTTCACTCTTTGGCCAGAACTAGTACAAAACTCGTCCAAGCATTCCTTGATAATCCGAACTTGAGAGCCTTCCGCCTCGGCAAAAAGAATAAGGTCATCTGCAAAAAAAAGATGAGTTAGTGCCGGGCCCCCTGGCGACAACCTGACAGGTTTCCATAGCTTCTCCTGGACAGCCCGGTCTATTCTGTGAGAGAGGCGTTCCATACAAAGAACAAAAAGATAGGGTGAGAGAGGGTCTCCCTGTCTAACTCCTCGGGTCGGTGAGATGGGCTGCAAGAGGTCCCCGTTCCAACGGATGCGCATAGCATTCTTCTCAACACAGTACATGATGCAGCGAATCCAGGAGCTCGGGAGGCCAACTTCAATGAGAGTATCCCGAAGAAAGTCCCATCTGAGTCTGTCATAAGCCTTCTCAAGGTCAATTTTCATTACCAACCCTCCTTTCTTGCCTCGGCGCTTTCTCATGGAGTGGAGAAATTCCTGAACAATAAGGATATTATCTGTCGTCTGCCGGCCAGGAATAAAGCTGCTCTGACGAGGAGAGACCAGGGTGCTCATAACAGTCTTCAGCCTGCTAGTCATAGCTTTAGTGATGGCCTTGAGGCTGACGTTATTAAGAGAGATCGGCCGGAGTTGCCCAACAGTCTCGGGGTTCTCTATTTTTGGGATGAGTACCACTGTAGATGCAAAGACCTCGTCAGGTAGCTCCCCTCCCTCAAAAAATGAGATGGCCATGTCAGTAAGGGATTTCCCCACCGTCCTCCAAGCGTGCTGGTAGAAGATGGCTTGAAAACCATCCGGACCCGGGGCCTGCAGCGGTTTCATATCAAAGACAGCTTGGTGAACATCTTGGATAGTGAAAGGCCGAAGAAGCTGATTAAGTTCTGCAGGGCTGAGATGAGGGAAGACTCCTCGAGGCATCAAATCACTATAGTTTGTGTTATCCTGCAGATACAATCCAGAGTAAAAACGGAAGACCATGGAAGCCAATTGATTCCTGTCCGTCACCCACTCCCCATTCTCATCCTTCAGACAAGCAATCTTGTTGGCCCTCCGTCTGATCTTAGCTAGCTGATGAAAGTAGGAGGTATTCCTCTCCCCAAACTTGACCCAGTTCTCCCGAGACCTTTGGAACCACAACAGCTCTTCCTGCTCCAAAACCTTATCTAGTTCTGTCGAAAGCTTGGAGTGGAGCTTAGCTAATCCGGGTGAAAATCCCTCAGCCAACCGTTTCTCCACCCCGCTGATCCGAGCCACCAATCTCCTTTTCCTTTGACCTATATTACCAAACACCGTAGTATTCCAACTTTGCAGCTTGGAAGACAAATCCTGCAAGGCAAGAGGAAGAGCAGCCTGTGAGTTCCATGAATCGGTTAAAAAACTGTGAAAGTTATCATGCGTAATCCAAGCTGCTTCAAACTTAAAAGCCTTAGGCGAGGGTTGCGAGACTCCCTGGCGAGCGACAGAAGTGAGGATTGGGTGATGATCAGACCCCACTCGGTTGAGATGCAGGACAGTGGTATCAGGGAAAGCTTCATTCCAACTCAAGTTACAGAGACTACGATCCAGCCTGCTTGCTTTGAAAGTGGAAGCTTGTGAACCCCTTGACCAAGTAAAACGAGGGCCGGAAAAACCCAAGTCCACCAGCTCAGCCTCATTAATCCAATGGCTAAACCGTCAGCATCTGCGGAGAGTGGCAGCAGTACAGGGGCCGCTCTTTTCATCCGGCGATGAGATGGCGTTGAAATCACCAGTTAGAATCCAAGGACAGGTGATGTTCTTGCTTTCTTCAACCAGATTTTACCAAAGCAGGCTTTGAAGTTGCTGCCGAGGAGAAGCATAGATCGCAGTCAAGAACCAAGCCGGCGAGCTGTTTTGGCAAATAGACAGAGTCATATGCTGATCGCCCGCGGAGTGGATATGAGCATCAAAATGCTGCGCGTTCCAGAAAACCCATATGCCCCCGCTACGACCAGCTGCCTCAACACGAGCAACATCGGGAAAGCCTAGTTTCTCGCAAACCGAGTCCGCCACAGCGCCGCTGACCTGCGGTTCCAGTAAAATAAGAAAATTAGGCCGGTGGAGCTGGATAGCAAAGCGAAGGGAGCGTAAGAAGGACCTGCCCCCAGCCCCACCCACATTCCAAGAGAGAATTTTAAATTTAGAATGAAAGAAACTAGACATAGGAAATAATCAGCGAAGAAGGGAGAAGGGGAGAAGCAGAATTCAAAAGCAAAATCAGCAGAGCTCAGGCGCAGAAGAAGTCAAGGCCGCCCCCACAGTCGCGTCATGTCCCTGCGGTGTGGTTGTCGCCAGGGCCATCGCTGCCTTCTCAGGTTCTTCACCGGGCTTCGCCGCATTCGTCCATTCCTGAATTTGTTGAAGAGTAAGAGATATACGTCGCTCCCTGCTCTTCACTCTCTTCTCCTTGACTGGAGACCAGATTTGCAGCGCCTTAGCTGGGTTATGGCGAATCGGAGTTCCGCGCGGTGGCGTCGGTCTATCATCACCGCCTCCTTTCTTTTTTCCTTTCTTATTTTTCGTGCGAAGGTTGGCGGAAGGAGCTGTCGGGTCGATGGCTCGCGGCGGAAGAGGGGCGTAAGGTTTCGTCTCCACCACCCGGATCCGAGTATCAGCTTCTCCTCCCTTGTGTTGGGCCGAGCCCGAGGCCGTTGGAACTGAGTGCGGCCCATTGCGGGCTTTAATGTTTTCAACAACCGGGCTGGCTGCATTTGCGTTTACCACAACAGAGGATGAAGCCTCATGATCATTTTTGGGTTTAGTGGGCCGAGGAGAAACTTTCAAAAGATTGGGTCTTGGGCCTAGAAGCCCTCTCTCGGCTGTTTCAGAGACACCAGTCACAGGGGCCTTCCCTTTATTCGCCTCCTCTTTCTTCCCAAGCAAAGATCCCGCCACTTTCCCTGTTTTACCACTCTGCAATTTCGGGAGACTCTCAAGTCTTTCCTTATCACCTTCCTCCCCTTTCCCTGAATTCCTGGCCTTGTGAGCGTTGTTGCTTAGGTGATTCTGATCCGACTTACCTTGTCCCCCCACCTCCCTTTGATTGCGCCGAGTTTTTCGTGTGACTAGCATCCACGGCCCGAACCCGGCTACATCCCCGGAGTCGCCTTCGCCGGCGTCGGACCCCGACGACGGCAACGTGCCATGAACATCCGCAACCAGCCGGTCTTGACAAATCAAAGGGCATGTGACCTTGGTATGGCCGACCTTGCCACACTCAAAGCAAACAACAGGGATATTCTCGAATTCCACCTTTTGCCAACGGCCGTCAAGTCTAATTCTTGGAACCAGAGGCTTGGAAAGATCAACCTCCACGGCCATCCTAGCAAACTTGGCACGTTGTTGGTGTTGAGTGTGATAATCAAGCTTTATAGCCCTCCCGATCATATTGCCAAGCGCGAAGAGGAGTTCTTGATGGTAAAAATGGACGGGGAGACCTGGGAAGTGAACCCACAAAACCATGGTGGTGGGGAGTTTATCCGTCACCCTGAAAGAGGGAGTCCATTGGTGCACGACCAAGTAATGATCAAAGATAACCCATGGGCCTTCAGACAAAGCATAAAAATAATCCTTATCGTTCCCAAGCTTGACCAAAAAGCAGTCGTCATCCAGAGCAAAGATTTCCATCGCGCTAGTTGGTCGCCAGAGGGCCTTCAGTCTATTGCACAGAGTCGAGTATCCAATCGAGCGCCCCAGCAGCCTAACAACCAGGGTCCGCTGCCAAGGAGCGCTGAGTTTATTCCTGAACGAGTCCGAGACTCTGAGTTCCGGCTCGCCGTTAAAAGTCCCTGGCACCAGGTCATGCTCACCCACAGGGATCCACCTTTGCTTCGGAGGTTGCTGCGTACTAGCGCTCCCCGCCACCGCAGAAGCATAGGAGACCAGGGGGAGCGTGGTTGTGTTCTCATTTGTTCGAAACCTGTCCATAGTCTCCATGCCTGGAAAAATAGACCCGTCGGAGACAGGCGTTGTGGCAATCGGGGCCCCTGTTTCCTTTAGTTGCACAGCAGCGCCCTCAACATCCATCTGCGTTGACGATTCAGGTATGATCTCCAGCATCTTTCCTTCGTTCATCATAGTTTCTGTTGGGGTCAGAGGATCTGGCGGCCGCCCTTGGGGAGAGACCGCCGTCGCCGTCGGAGAAGAACTAACAATATGAAATAGATACAATCTTAACAATAATTGAAATAAAAACATACTTAATGACTAAATAATTGAGATGGACATCTTAGACATAATGATGTTGTCATTTTTTGGCATAATACTATGGAACTATTTGCCTCAATAGGCAGAACCACCTTGGAGGATAAGTAAAAATCACATAGCAAGAAATACATGACAATTCAATTAACCATCCATCCCTAAGTATGTGTTATTGAGACTATATTTTATAGTGGATTATCTTTATCGAAAAATAATTTATTAGGGGCAATTTATCACGACTAAAACTTGAATTTTTATTCCATAGATGTTGTAACATCGATTGAAACTTATTAGAATTAGAAGGCTTCAATTCTCGGAAGTAAATATTGAAAACACATTCATAATTAGAGCGGAATTGCGAGGCTGAGTATTTTTACAATGATGTCGGTCAGGGATGACAACTTTGACCTAACAAATTTTATCCGATCTATTTGGCATGTTTTGGAGTGAATAATATCCATGGTACTCTCCTCGATCGGAATGATATGTAATTTTACTTAAAGTAATTAGGATTTAACTTTTATGGCCTCATATTTTAGCAATAATAAAGTTTTAAATAGGCGTGAATCTCAATACCTTGAATAATTTAAATACACTTATCATATTCTTGAATAAAGTTTTAGATTTGTATCACATAATAAATTATCTGACCTAATACGGACGAACAGAGATAGATATGCATATAATCGTCGACAATTGCTAATGTCGGATGGACTGATGATGCAGTGATAAGTCCAAGGTTGTCGTCCCGCGGGTCGAACCACCGGTTGACCCATTTTGATCTTGACCTGGTGAGAAAAATGGGCCACACACACATCGGGTCGACCGCTGCAAGGTACCGAGCTGGAGGTCAAACTATGTCTTTTTTTCCTTTGGTTTGTAAAATGCTCATATTTTCCGATTTTTCTTTTCTCCTAACCTAATCTTTGAGATTCTAAGTTGAGCATTTTAATATTGATGTTATATATGTGTTTGTGAATTTTCACTATATGTTGGATGCAAGTACAAAATGTTATTTTTGTGTAATGTTACATGTTATTACTCATATGTTATATGAGATTTAATATAATTTATAAATGTATAACAATATAATGTATTTTCATATATTCGAGCTAAACCGAACTAAAACGGTAGGACAATTAACCCTCAATCCACTTTCTCAATCGGGTCAATAGGCTAAATTGGGTTGACAACCTTGAATTAGTCGAAATTGTTGAAGTTGATTAGTGGAGCTTGAATTTTGTAACAATGATGCCGCGAGAGTTATAGCTTGAATTATTATTTTATTATTATCAACAATTGGCGCATGAGTTTTAATAAGTTTTTTATTTGTATCTCAATTTAATTAGGCTTTTAGCCCCATGAGACAGTAGCGGAACAGATGAGTAAACAAAAGGACTAAATAGTCCTTCCATTCTATGCGCGTAGGCAAGAAAAAATTGGATTGGGTGTGCACTTAAGGAGAATCTCCATATATAATTTGTAGGATGTAGGATATGTATCCTCTCCATCCATGATCAAGATTACTCTGGTTCTTTGGGATATATTGTTCTCATTTCCTTTTGGTTTATTAATTATTGACATGCTTAGCTTCTGCGATGTTCTCGTATCCGGCGAATTCTTTTGATCCAGCTAATCATTCTGGGTTTCGTCGGATTTGATGTGTGTGACCAATTAAAACTTTAATGGTTGCGAATCATTGAATTCGACCGATCAATCGGTGTATAATTGGGAGATCTTTCATGGGTCTTTATGGGGTTTGCTAACAATTTGGGTCTTTGTGTGATAGGAGATGGGGCGACAGATTTGCGCTGTGGGGGAATAAGAAATTGGAGGGGAACAAGTAATGGTTGGTAGAATTTTACAGGGTCAGCACTGAGATGAGATTGGCGTACGACAACGATGGTGTCCAAATCGATGAGAGGGCGGAGAAATGAGAGCGAGCATGGTGACTGCGGAGAGAAGAAGGGGCGGGACGCCGTTGTTACGGTGATGTGACGTAGGGGGTGGCGATTTTAGGGTTTTCTCGTAAAAGGAATAAAACGCAAAGAACTCTCAAAGGAAATAGCTAATGAAATAGCAAATAAAGGACAAAAGCTAACTATTGGGTTCCAATCTTCTTCTCCTTAACCGAACGAAACAAGTACATATTTATAGGCACAAAGCCTCTACCTTTTTTTTTTTTTTTTTTTTTTTTTTGATAATGGTGAAATAGGTTCAGCATACAAAAGGAAAAAGAACAAAAGGAGAAAGAAATACAAAAGCGCCAGCAGCCAGCAGATAACTACGGCGACGAAACACAAACCAAAAATGACAGTAAACGGCGATCAAAACATCAAAAAAACAGCAGAAGCAAAGCACCGAGCTGCACAATGCATCCCGAACAAAGGCGCCCAGAGATTAAGGAGATGTATGCAGCGGGGGATTGCTTCTACCCTCTGAGACGAAACCTCTCGGGAGAACCCTGGATTTAAGCTGCAGAAGCCACTGATCAGCCACCAAGCGATCCACCCTATTGGCCACTGACAACCAATCCGCTATATCTTTACCAATGCCGATGCAGACCTGCTCCGGAGTAGTCTTCTTGCCTCTAAAAGTCCTAGCGTTCCTCTCACGCCACAACCTCCAACAAAGACCATGAAGGAAAACCTTCGTGCACCATTTGGCCGGGTCCACCGGATCACCACTCCACCAAGAACATACGATGGACTTAATATCCTGCTGTTGGGACCTAAATTTCACAAAGGCTGCCATGATTGTCCAGACTTTACGCGCAAACCTGCAATTCACCATCAGATGGTTAAGGGTTTCTACCTTTACCTATCTAGATTATGACTCCTAAACCTCTAAGGATATTACCAACAAATAACCTAATCCGATACGAACATGGAAAACAATAATAAAGACAATAATAATAAAAGCCCAATAATGTACTAATACTAAAGATACGCAAGCCCAGTCTCCTACGAAATGCTACGATGGCTCGATCTCGTAACATCCCTCCCCCCTTAAAAGAATCTTGTCCACAAGGTTCGCGCTTTCGATACTTCCAATTCAGCTTATGCACCCAATCAAACCCTCCCCGGTCAATAGCTCTTACAGGAACGATCTCTTCCAAGCCAATCGAGTCATTCATTCCCATGTTACGTCCAAGATTGCATGCCCACTTCTGCCTCCCATGCATGCCTCCATATGAGCTTGCAATAGGTCCACTTTGGCCTTCCTTTCTATTCTTACAATCGTACCTGATCAACCACTCCATTCTCCCATTTAAGGTTGTCAGCGTCTTGAAGCCCATGGACAAGGAAGGTTGGATTGTGAGAGTGAATTTGTCCTCTGACGTCGTGGTAGTGATCACTTTCACGCGGACTTTACATCCAAGGTTGAGACCTAACTCGTCATCGAAGAACCATCCTCCTTTCTTGGGAATGTCAACTTCTTCAACTGCTACGATGATGGCCTTATTGAGGCTATGGTTGGAAATGACAGAGCTACGACGTGCGGCGGTGGAGCTAATCCAATCTCGTTGTTCGGTCACGTCGTTGATGATGGTGAGCTTGTCGTAACGACGGGTGCGGCGGTGGAAACACGTATGTGATTCCAATGGAATTCCGCGCTTACGAAATTTCCAGTTCGGTCGAAGCACACAAATCGAACCCCTTCCGGCTACATCCCATGGGATCCTCTTGTGGTACACATCGCCCATAGTTCTGATTCCATTGAGAACATCCGTAATGCAATCTGCCTCGGTTGGTGATTCTTCTTCGGTAGGCCGATGAGCAGCGATGGAAGGAGCAGCTACAGCTGGTACGACAACTGCCATGACGGGGATGGATGATAACGACAACTGGCTCGATACTGTTGTAAATACCGTCGTCTCTAGGAGTACAGTTAACAATGGTGGAGCTAGGGTGAGCTCCTCGGCCCTGAATGGTGGCGATGACGCCCGACCCCGAACCCGAACCCTTGGTAAGCTTCCCGCGGTGGCGATCAGTGGAATAGGAGCCAAGGTTCGCTCCTTCTTTGATGGTTGCGCGGCGACAGCAGTTCGTGTGATATCAATATTGGCGGTGGTGGCCGGCGGTGCAAGAAGGGCTGGCGTGAGCAATGGTGATGCATCGATGGCCAGAGGGGTAGCTGCCCTAATGCTTGCACCCCGTTTCTTTCTCTTCTTCCTAAACTTCAAACCATCAATACGTGGGATCCTCCCTCTACATCTTCCAGGACTGGCGAGCATTGAAACGTGTTCCTCTCCATTAGTTGTAGCACCTTCATTCGACGTGATTCCGTTGTTACCCCTGTCGGTCGGTTCCCAAGATGGATTTGACGATTTGACTCGTCCTCTCCTCTTTCTTCGGTAGCCAATCCTCCTTGTGATGAGAGGAACTTTGGCGGTTGATGGATGAACGACCTTGGTCGTTGGCGCTAGGGCTAGCTCTCCGGTTGATGGTTGAGCGGCCACGGATGTCGCAATCTTTTCGTCTACAGCAGCGCCACGGATGGATGGCGGTGTTGGTGGTCGTACCGCGGCGCTGCGGTCCACAAAGGTAGACGGATCCATGACGGGTGGTGCTTCTTCATCCAACTCAAGTGGCTTGCTTTGACACGGAAGCACATCATCGACGGGGCCCTCTTCCTTCTCGTTGATCACGGCTACCTCGGGCGCGACAGTTAGTCGCACGGCGCGTGATGAGGACGGAGCTAGGGTTAGCTCCTCGGCTGTCGAATCAACGGCTGGAGACGGCGAACCTGGTATGGATGGAACATCTGAGCATGGATCGAGTAGCGCACGGACTGCTGGATCGAAACCGTGGAGGGTAAACCTCGTCCTGGCGGGCTGCCGGAGTTGCCAGATTACCTGGCCCAGCTGCTCCCGCCAATAGAGATACTCAGATCTCATTAACGGGGCTCTGATACCAACTGTTACGGTGATGTGACGTAGGGGGTGGCGATTTTAGGGTTTTCTCGTAAAAGGAATAAAACGCAAAGAACTCTCAAAGGAAATAGCTAATGAAATAGCAAATAAAGGACAAAAGCTAACTATTGGGTTCCAATCTTCTTCTCCTTAACCGAACGAAACAAGTACATATTTATAGGCACAAAGCCTCTACCTTTACCTATCTAGATTATGACTCCTAAACCTCTAAGGATATTACCAACAAATAACCTAATCCGATACGAACAAGGAAAACAATAATAAAGACAATAATAATAAAAGCCCAATAATGTACTAATACTAAAGATACGCAAGCCCAGTCTCCTACGAAATGCTACGATGGCTCGATCTCGTAACAGCCGTCCTCGGCGAGAGAAGACATGGTGATCGATGAGTTGCCGAAGGTCGTGATTGGAAGACGGAGGAAACAAAATATATAACCAAATCAATATTATTTTATTTATAATTAATGACATGGCATACACGTGGATGACAATTGTTAATTCTAACCGTCAATTTAAATTCGCGTAACATAAATAACACAGACCACCAATAGTTAGGAATATTACTGTAATTATTGAATTATTGTAATATAAATAACACTATCGCTAAATGTTGGTATTTTTAGTAGTATTAGCCCTAAAAAATAGTCAAAATAGAGATTGGCGTATAAAGAAATATTAAAAAAATAAGAGGGAAATGGGGAAAGTTTAGAGAGGAACTGAAGCACTCGTCTTAGTTGTTTACTTCTATCATTCGGAGTTGGCGCAACAAGTTCCTCAAGATGAAAACCGATTGATAAGTTGTGAGTGTAGCAAATTAAGTGGTACAGTAGAATAAATCTGAAAGATGATACATTTTGAATATAAAAGACGAAACTAAAAATATACCCACCAAGAAAAGAGAAAATGTCATGATCAAACCTAAAGAGTGACAGAGAGGATTGTCATTACTGTTTCTCTACGGATCGGGAAATAGGAGGATTCGACAAGGCAAGAAAATGAAAGCAATAACAAGCACACGACACAGAAATTACATGGTTCATTAATGTGTGTTAGCTAGTCCACGGGCAGAAGAGAGTCAGTTTCACTATACTTTGAGGAGATACAGATTACATAGGAGTATGAGAAGTATTTATAGTACTTCTCCAAGGTCCAACCCTGGTCCACCGACATCGAGACCTCCGTGACTTCAAGTCGTAACCAGATAGTCTGATTCAAGTCACATCAACAAAGATGGTGATTATCCTTACTGCGGTTCCACCCCAAAATGCTCGAAGCAAAATAAAGGTTGAAGTTCCTACATGGTGCCATAAAGATCGAAGATCTCACCATCTCTTTATTCCATATAGCTGTGATCCTCAGGTAGAGGTTTGGATTCATTTTGATGGTGAAGATAGTCGCACAAGTATACGATGTATGGTCCAAACCCTGAGGTAGGAGCACACAAGTTCAACTCAACAAGCCACCAAATCAAGCTGGCTCACAAGTCTTATGAACCGAGTTCAGGTCGTGAACATGTAGCTCATTGCAATCCTAGCTACGAGAGGGACCCTACGACCATCCAGGACTCGACTCTAGTCACTAACAATCCACAAGGACAGTAGCTGCTCTATTTGAGGATTGAAACCCAATTCAACACTAAACAAGTCCAAACTAATTGAATACTTGTGTCCAAAATTCCTCGAATCGCTTAGACCTTGAGATGCTCACACGGACGGTGTTACCGTTAGACAACTCCCTCGTTCGCACAATATTTTTGTTTTTTTACTGTAGGATGGAAACAAATTTTTGTTCGTTGATTATCTTAACCCAACATAGGAAAAAAAGGCTCTAATTCATATAGTTTGGATTAGATATTAGTATTTTGACTAGTTATTGTTATCTTGATTTAATAAGTCTCACCCCATCATTTTCTTTCTATAGCATTTAAAGAGGCAAAATATAGGAGGGAGAGGTGTCGACTACAAATGGTGTTCAAAAGAAACGCCGATATCATCTTCTCCAACGATCAAAGTATGACATGAGGGGTATTAATAAGTTTATGCCTATCGTAAGAATAGAAGATGTCGTGTTTTGAGCGTCAGATCAAGACTTCGATTGGTCCTCTTACACTAATCAAAATCCCGATTTAAATTATAAAATCTTACGATTTTACGGTTTTACTTACCTATTCCGATCCTGATTTCACTATATAATCTATGGACATTAAAATCCTACACTATTCATGTTTGAAATTCTTAAATTATTTTAAAATATTACGGTTTTACGATTCAATCTTTGAGTAGATTTCACTTATTTGCGCCATAATTTACAAAATTACACATCCTTTTCTTCTCATCTACCTACATTATCTAGTTCTCTCATACATACTAACCATCGACGACCATCATCAATTCACATCAACGTATTAATCATCATTTATTCACCACTTCCCAATATTAACCTTAATAAATTGGAACATTAATCTTGAGAAATTGTCATTGTAAGTGTTATATGTTTTTTGTGTTATCATGATTTACCTTATTAATATTAGTTCGCCTTTATTTTTATATGGATCTTAAAATCCTATGATTTTACGATTTTGATTTTACCCCATTTTAATTTTTGCATAAAATCCCGATTTTAAGTATTATGGACCGTGCCATATGTCATACTCATGAAAATATGGATATTCATTTCATAATTCATGTGAGTTTGATCTTATTGTACTGGTGTACTTAATCTAACTCTAGCTACAATGATAGCAACAAATTGTGGTGATGTTGGGTCTACAATCTAATGATGTCCAAAAAAATACGGTTATATGAATTTGTTGTTTCTAGTGTGACCCTAATGCCCATAAACAAATTGACTCAAATGTCAAATGGGACCTACCCCGTGTCCGATACAATCCCAAATATGGACTAAAATATATTTAAATGACAACTAGCACTACAGGAAAAAGGTTCTTTGATCACAGGGAATCCCGTGCTTAAAAGCAAGTTTCCCGTGATTAATGACTTTAGTCACGGGAAATTTACCGTAACATAAAGCTCTGTGTCTAATTGTATACCGTGACTAGTTATAGTACCGTGACTAGTTAACTAGCCACAGTGAATTTTCCCATGATTATTTGTACCTATTAATCACGGGAGAACCGTGTTGAATGCCAAAGTTTGGAACACATGTACAAGAAAAAAATCATTTAAAGACGGGATCTACACCTTTTTAAACGGTATTTACCATGACAAAATGTAATCCCATGACTAAATGTCAATCACTAGTCACTGTATTTACTACCTATGGTCATTGTATTTTACCGTAACTAGTTACAAACCACTAATCATGATATAATTTCATGATATTAAATTTTGAAGCCTACATACGCACTGAAGACAATTTTAATCTCCCTATTACATTTATAATCGCAAGAGAAACCAAAATGATCATCAGCATTATAACACTACCAAAATAATGTACTCATGAATTTGATATTTTTACAATAGAACGGGTTTCAAATGTTTAAACTTATACTCCTATGATGTTACAATGCCTGCTATAACTAATTGCAATTTGCAAAATATCCTAACTAATCAAGCCGATGCCTTCCAAAACCAACTAAAAACAAATGAATTCATTCAGTGTCATGTCGTGGCTCTTACATGCTGCTTCACATTGTCTGCCAAAAATCACACATAATTAGCTATGACAATTGCAATACAAAAGCACAGACAGAGCAATTGAGGTAAAACAATCCAAAAGAACCAAGTTTGTATGCAATTGAGGGAAAACATCCTAAAGAAAGTCTCTCAATTTAAGTTCAGAATCTAGACGCCCACTAGTAGAATCACTAAAGCATAGGAACAAGGTACATTGCTGGGGATCAAAACATAGAAAAGGATAGCCAAGGTACGTATTTACCTTGCATATTATCATTGGCGTCTCTTGGCTTTTCTTTCAAGCAATAAATAGTATCATTAAGTACAAGAACAAGGTACATCGCTGACTTTTTCCCGCCTAGAAAAATACAAAAACCCAAATATCAAATCTAAATAAAAGAACACACAATGAATTGGGCATACACTAATTGGCTAGCTAATAATAAAAGCATCTATCTCATTGAATCATTTTAAAATGAAGTGAAATGAATAATCACTCACTGGAAGATTGATTACAAGAAGAAATCCAGCGATAGGGGTAACACTAGTTTTCTACAGACTTCTACAGTTCTGCAGAAGCAAGGACAGGGCAGAAACAAGATAGCATTCAGGTGTGGTAATAAGAATTCAACTAAAGCAATGAAAAGTAATAGCCTTCAAAACCCAGACATCCATTATATGAAACAGAGGCAGCCAAAGCAATGAAAACTCTTAACTTAGTGAAGAAACTGTCGTTGCACTTACCCAGAACTGTTGCTTCCATCTCTGTCAACTCAAAAATGAAAATGGTGCAGGAAAAGCTGCTTCTTCCTATGAAAGTGCATCCAGAAGTTCACCCCTGCCCCTCCCTTTTTATTTTGAACGAGACAAAAAAAAGTGTTGGGAGGATTAGAAACTATGAATCAAAAAAGCAAAATAAATGGAAGGACACAGGTGGGAATACCATTCCTGAAATGATATGAGTTACCTTCTCCTCAAGTATGCAGACCTCTGTGGAAGAGAAATTCATCAATCAGTATGATTCACCCCAGAATAAGCTGCAAGCATGGGCACAGTCAAACACAAGTGCAATACAGGGGCACAAACTTCAGTTCGTGCAATTTCCCAAAACCCCCAATTGACCCGAAACAGAACCCTAATTTTCCTAGTTACGAATTCAACAATCAATCAAACATAGAAGCCGAATTTGAGTATCCTAAATTTGAGAACCCTAATGTTCAATTGGAGTCTCCCTGCAATTTGGTGAGTTACAAACCCTAAATTCACCACAAAGCTAACTTTTCAACCCCACATCCGCAATTAAAGAATGAAATCGAGACGCAACAGAATGAGAAAAGGGAGTGAAAAGCAAACCTTGAGAGCCCACCGAGATGAAGGGACCAAGAATGGAAGATGCGATGAGAAGTAAGAAAGATGGTCGGATCTCGGATGTGCTTTGACGAAGGTCTCTGGCGGCCAAATCTGATTCTGTGGATGGGAGTCTAGAAAGCCCCACCGGATCAACTCCATTCCTTTTTCTTTTCCTGGTAGGCCTCGAAGTTGGAAATAGTTGTTTCTTTTTCCGGCTTTCTTCCGGCCAGTAACGCATTTTTCTTGTGGGAAAGATCGGAGAGCACCAAGCTTGGAGGCTGACCGGGGGGCCTCCTCTTCCGCGGATGTGGGGTTGAAAAGTTAGCTTTCTCGTCTCCTCTTTCACTCTCATCTATTTTTTTCTCTCTCATTAAGTCATTGTCTCAGAATTCTAGCGAAGGTAGTGTGGCTGTGTGGGTTAGTTTAGGGATAAGGTGTGCTTTGCAGCACTTTCAATTGTTTTCAAGTCATGCATTTTTGGAGGCAAAATTTAGGATTGTGGAGCCAAAAAAAATTTGCAGTCAAAATTTGGAATTGTGGAGCGGGAAAACATGGCGGGATAGCCGAATTGTTCTGCAAGAACTTTTTATTCGCAATATTAATAGAGCCTCAATTTATAAAGAATTATTGAGTTGTGTTATTAAAAAGGAAGAGCAAATTTCCCAAAAGAAAAAGGAAGAGCAAATTAAATTGAACATTTAATTCCTTGTTTTAGATTAATTAGGGAGCTGGATTATATTGTCTTGTTTTGTGAAATTCCTGTGTTCTTACGATCCACTGTAACAAAGTGGCATGTGGAGCTGAGATTTCTGGGTAATAAAAAAAATTATGTATTTCTTTCTTGATTTTTATGTAAATTTTCAAAATTAAATTGTCAAATTGTTCACGGTAATTAACCGTGACTAACAATTAATCACGGGAAATGAAGACTATAAAACATGTAAATTAATTCCCGTGATTAGAACTATACAATCAATTACGGGATATTTTACTGTGACCATTAGTATACTTCTCGGTACGGGAAAAATTCCCGTGAATAAGATCCCGTGACCAAAAACCAGTTTTCCTGTAGTGTAGACATTTATGATAATGTGATTCTACCATGTATGAGAGATTTTCAAATGGTAAACTCTTAAGTAGCTAGCTAGGTGTTCAACAAAACCAGGTTTTGGACCAAGTATGGAAAATGGATGGCGAAATACAACTAACCAAGTATGAAGAAAAGGTCATAAGCACCAGGAAATAAGGGTAAGTTTCCTTGATTTCCCCACTACTATTTCTTTAGGAAATCCCTTATGCCCCCTTTACCCTTCTCATGGCAAGACAACCAGATGGCAGCGTTCTTCAGACGATCAACACGGTCACGACATTTCGGGTCGTGACATTCTCCACCACTCATAATGCAGCACGTCCTCGTGCTAGTGAAGAATGCTTCTCTCCGCAGCATGTATTGCAACTCTCGAACCGATTGTGGGCGTCCGCATACGATACCATCCTCTGATGGACAGGCTCCGGTCGCGTCTTCGCGCTAGCCTGCTGTGTCCCGTGCACATACCGCTTTGCCCCTCGACATCAACCTTCACCCTTTGCTTCTGCTGCGCTAGTACCTCAGTCGACCTTCACCCTACGCTACTCCCAGCGTTTGTACTTCAATCAACCTTCACCCTACGCTCTAGCTAGCGTTAGTTCCTCGGTTGAACGGCATTCTCGGCCGCTGCATCTTCAGCCTGTCGAGGTCCCCCACAACGGCGCAACACATGTGTATCTGCGTCCGGACCGCCTGATATGCACACCTAGGACCGCCTCTCATTCGGGCATAGGGTCGACCCATACACGACCTATGCCGTACTGAGAGAGGAACTAGGCTCTTCAGCCTAACGAGGCTCTGATACCACTTGTCACGGACATAGACTTTCGAAGTCCGTGCGGCGTCTTGAGGTGCACTCATTCCTCAAGACCAGCCTCTCCGCATACGCATGCCAACTGGTTTCGCCCTGCCTTGGGCTCATCAGGGAGACGGCAATAGCCTCCGACCAGTTGTGCCTTCTCTTGCAACGATCCCCTTCATAGCCACATCCTGACTCGGCCAGATGCGATGCACAGGCAGACAACGCCTTATCGCTAATGTCGCCCCCTTTACCCTTCTCAAGGCAAGACAACTGTAATCTAAGGGACTGATTTTAGGGATTGTAAGTTTGGGAAAGTAAAGAAGAAGCAGAAGAGGAAGAAGATCGAAAATGAAGGAGAGGAGAGGTCCTTCAGTGTTTTTCGTTCTGATTCTCCCCTTCAGTTCGGGCCACAGCTTCTCAAGCCCACTTGAAATCTATTAGCAAAAAGCCAACGTTGAGATGGGCTTGATGATTGGTAAGCCCAGCCGAGTAGATCAGTATAGAGAACACTTAGGTCTGTTTTCTTCCTTGGATCAAAATCCTTGGAAAACAGAGAATTGATATGGAAGATGAAGTACGAAAAGAAAAGTGCAGAAATCTAAAGAACTCACGATATTTTTAACGTGGTTCACCCCAGTGCAATGGGCTACGTCCACACCTACGACTCTATTTTATTTTCTTTACGATCTAACTTACAAATACAAAAGAAGCAAATCGAAATAAAGACTCAAAGAAGGAAATTCTAGAAACAAAGTAGAATGACGAATAAACAACCCAAATTCCAAACTCCGGAATTTGTATCAGCCACTAGCAAAGAACCTCTTCCCCTTTGCTAAACCCTTTTGTTTAGAAACCCTTTTCCGTTCTCTCACAAAAGTAAAGAGGCAATACGTTTCAGTCCCTTTTATAGATTAGGAGGAGGTGAGATGGAACCTTCCTTATTTGCAATGCTTGATCAAAGGAGTGATTCTTGTGCTGTGATTATGCAATCAATCAGTTGATTGATTTCGACTTGATTTCCAAGATTCTAGGAAGATGATTTATTCCCAACGAACTATTTTGTCGACTATCTCTGATTTCCCAAATCTTCCTACAATCTCCCCTTAAATCAGAGATTGTCGATTGCCTGAAACAAAGAAGACGACACTACCTTTCCTCTTCTCAAGGAGTTAGTATTTAACAAGAGGATAATTATTTCACATCTCTTTAAGAGGAACATTCAATCCGCATAGAGAAAAAGAGATTATCATAGATAGCAAAGCCGACACAGTTTTAACCGAAGCAATCATAAAAGGCCGAAGTAATCATAATCTATCACGAAATTTAGACCGACAACCATAAGACTAGCTAAACAATCGAACTAAGTTAAACATCATCACTAGTGTTGTTGTTGGTGTCACTGCTCTCGCTGGAACTAACACTAGTGCTGCTGTCGACTTCTTCCTTGACAGTGTCCTCGTCTCCACTGTCCTCGTCAAGGGGTTCCTCCCCTTCAATCGCAATCTCCAGAGCTTCAAGGATATCCGCAGCCACAGGGGAGAACACAGGATCGAAAGTGATAAAGGATGACAGGTTTATCTCAAGGTGAACTAGAAGGGTCGACACAAGGGGACCGAAAGGCAGGGCTTCACCTAGGACAGGTTCAGTGAATCGCAGTAGGGACCCAAAAAATAAGTGAAAGTAATTCAGAGGGGTACCATGGACAACATTCGAGATGATCCAAAGATCGAGAGGGAGAATAGTTGTGACAGAGTGATCTCTGGGAAGGAAGACTCGAACAATGTAATAGTGGAGGAGACGAAGGGGTGGGGAAAGGACAGTGACAGGTAAAGTATTATTTGGTCCGGGAGGATGGCCAGTAATAGCAAGGAATTCCTCAGCAAGGTTGAAAGGCAAACAGAGGAAATTCGGACTCATCGGCTAAAGTAACCCCATGAACAGGAATATTCAAGAGCATGCTGAGATCATCAATATGAATGGCAAAGGCATGGCCAAAGACCAGAGAGTGAAAGGAACGAGATGACAACCCAGGGGATTGAAGATTGGAATAGAACAGTTGGATAATTTCAGGGCAAAACGAGGTCGTTAGAGGAGCATCAAGGAGAGAGGTCCAACCAAGGTTTTGAACATAGGGAGTAATATCAAGGCCAGCGTCCACTAAAGCAGGGAACGACACAAGACAGAAGGAAATCAAGGGACGATTGAGAAAAAACTGGATGTGACGATGATAGTTTGAGATGATAGGCTCAAGGAACAATGTACCCGTGTATGTGATGATGAGTACCATTGTAAGATCAGACAGAGAGGGAGCAGATGGAGAGTACACGGAAGAGACCTAGGGCTGGTAATTAAATAAACATGACATACTCAATCAAGGAAACTACTAATCAAGAAGAAAACTATCACACAAAAAGAAAGTAATAAATGAAGATTAAAACAGGAAGAAGAATAAAATAAAATAATTAAAAAAACTAAAAAGGAAGCAGAGGTTAGCGAATGATGCTCTCTGAGAGAGCCTGATGAGAGCGAAGTCCGAGTTCATAGCACAAAAAGATGAATCGATCAGCAGGTAGAGATTTTGTGAAAATGTCAGCCAGCTGGAATTCAGTAGGAATATGATGTAGAGCAACAGTTTGAGCCTGAACTAGATCCCGGATGAAATGATATTTCACTTCTATATGTTTGGTTCTAGAATGTTGCACGGGATTTTTAGTAATGCAAATGGCACTTGTGTTATCACAAAACAAAGGCATGATTGATGTTTTTATACCATAATCGGCTAGCTGGTTTTTTAACCAAAGAAGCTGAGTGCATGAGCTACCAGCCGCTATATATTCTGCCTCAGCTGTGGATAAAGCCACTGCACTTTGCTTCTTACTAGACCACAAAACCAGAGAAGTTCCTACAAACTGACAACTACCAGTGGTGCTACGACGATCAGTAAGACTCCCAGCAAAATCAGAATCACTGTAGCCTAAAAGATCAAAGCTATCGTGCCGAGGATACCATAGACCTATATCTGATGTGCCTTTAATATATCTAAAAATCCGCTTTAAGGCAGTTAAATGACTTTCTTTGGGTGCTGATTGAAACCGAGCACATAGACAAACAGAGAAGAGGATGTCAGGTCGACTGGCAGTAAGATAGAGTAAAGAACCTATCATACCCCTATACTGAGACTCGTTTACTGGGTTTCCTGTCTCATCCTGACAAAGCTTAGTAGTAGTGGCCATCGGTGTAGGGCTGGGATTTAAGGAGTTGAAGCCAAATTTACTAAGCATGGAGGAGATGTACTTAGATTGATTAATAAAAATACCTTCACTAGTATGTTTTATTTGTAGACCGAGGAAGAATTGTAGCTCACCCATCATGCTCATTTTAAAAACACTTTTCATAGAAGCACAGAAATCAGAGCATAGTTGATCATTGGTTGAACCAAAAACAATGTCGTCGACATATACTTGAACCAAAAGAAGATCACTAGAAACACGTTTAATAAACAAAGTTTTGTCTAGTGATCCTTGCTCAAAGCCTTGACTTAGTAAGAA